TAATCAAATTAAGGGTCTGTCTGTTTGGCTGTAATTGATTTTCTGGAAAAATGAATTACTGAAATTTGAATTACTGAAATTTGAATTACTGGAATTTGAATTCTGGAAAATGAATTAAATTTATGGAAAACGTTTTCCGAAAAATGTTTTCCGTAAAATGAATTACATTTTTCTGAAAAACATTTGGAAAATGTTTTATGATGTTTGAAAGATGTTATTTAAACTTTTTTTCCACTAGTTGATAGAGGCTATGGGAAAGGGTGATAGAGGCTAGGTTGAGACAGTTTACTAGGGTTTCGGAAAACCAATTTGGATTTATGTCAGGCAGGTCTACTACGGAGGCAATTCATCTACTCCGACAGCTTATGGAGAAATATAGGGAAAAAATAGAGATCTTCACAGGACGTTCATTGACCTTGAGAAGGCGTATGATAGAGTTCCTCGTGATACGATCTGGAAGACCTTGGAATCGAGACGGATCCCAACTGCTTATATCCGGGCGATTCGTGATATGTATTGTAGATCTACTACATTCGTCAGGACTACAGTTGGCGACACCGAGGCTTTCCCGGTGGAAATCGAACTCCACCAGGGGTCGACTCTTAGCCCTTACATCTTCGCCTTGATTATGGATAACATCTTTTGTGCGACACCAGTCGGGGTTCCATGGTGTATGCTTTTCGCTGACGACATTGTCCTAGTTGCTGAAACAAAAACTGAGCTGAATAGTAGACTGGCTACCTAGAAGACTACTTTGAAAGAAAAATGTCTAAGGATCAATATTGAAAAGATAAAGTATTTATGTTCAAACTTCAGTGGGAACCAAAACAATGAAGATGTAGAAGTATGCATAGAAGGACACGTTCTCCCATCAAATGATTGTTTCAAGTACCTAGGGTCTATGATACATAAAGATGGGGGTGTGGATGACGACGTTACACACTGTATTAAGGAGTGATGGCTAAAGTGGAGGGCTGCTATTGGAGTTTTGTGTGACAAGAACGTGCCTCTAAAACTTAAGGGAAAATTTTATAGAATGGAAATAAGACCAGTGCTACTGTATGGATCAGAATGTTGGGCATTCAAGAAGGATCACGTAAGGAGGATAGAGGCCGCAGAAATGAGAATGCTTCGATGGGCATGTGGTAGGACTCTGTGGGACATGACACCAAACTCTACTATTAGGATGTCCTTGGGGGTGGTGCTTGTATCCGAAAAATTGAGGGAGGGAAGACTACGGTGGTTTGGACATGTCCTTAGGTGACAACCGTCAGATGCGGTCAGGAGGGTAGAGTCGATTACAGTCGACGGTGCCAGAAGGAGAGGACGACCAAGGCGGAAGTGGGAAGACTGCTTGAGATCTGATTTGAAGGATTTAGCCCTTTCCGAGGACATGACCTCTGATAGGAAATTATGGAGACTAAAGACCAGGGTAGCCGAGTAGTGCGGGTCAAATCCGTAGGGTGTATCATCTCTGTCTTCTTTTAATGTCTTTGTAGTAATTTACATGACTTTTACTTTTTATACGTTTCTGTCAATGGAAATTATGGAGGCTTAGAACTAGGGTAGTGGAGTAGTGTTACCTTTGTTTAGGTTTTAACCCATTTTATTTATTCATTCTCGTAGCTTGTTATCGTTGACTTCTGTGTATCATTCTCTTCATGTTTCCTCTTTTTAAATTTTGTCGGGTCTTACGTTTCTGTCTATCGCAGAGATTTTTACGCAGTTATTTATTTGCAGGGATTACTTCCCATTTACAGACGCGCTTATTAAAGATTGCATTATTAAAACTGTTCAACTATGTATTTATTTATTTAATTATACATGCATTGCATTCTATCTTTATTTTTAATTTTTTGACTGCCAGAGGTCTTCCACGAAAGCTACTTTCAACCTGGCGTTGGGGCAACCTACTACCATACCTCCCCCTTACCCCATTGTATATGGGAATAGGGTTTTGTTGTTGTTGTTGTTGTTGTTGTTGTTGTTATTACAAATATTAAATACAAAAAATAATATTATTTATCATAAAACTTAATATTATTATTTTAAAATATTAAAATAATTTATTTATTATTAAATATTATTTTTATAATTTTATTAATAAAAATATTAATATTGGTATATTTTAGTGAAATAAAAATATTATAAATTATATTAATTATTTATTAAAGTAATAGTGTTATATTATATTTTAAAAATATTAATTAGTAAATATCTTTATTAAAATATTATTAGATTATTAGATTAATATTAAATATATAAATAATATTATTCATTATTAAATATATAAAAAATATAATATAAATTTTATTAAAATAAAAATATAATATCTTATATTATAATATAATTGATTAGTTTATTATAGTATTAAAAATATAATATATTATTATAAATATTAATAAATATATTTTAAATATTTTAATAATTAATATTTTGATGAAATTAAAATATTTTATTAATATTAAATTCATAAAATAAAATTATTTTGAGTATTTATTCTTTGAAGTAAAAAGTTCGGAAAATGACTTACGAAAAATAAGACCGTAAGTCATTTTCCAGAAAACACAAAGGAAATTCTGTTAACCAGGAAAATGAATTACGTTGACCAACTAGTTTTCCTCCAACCAAACACTGGAAAACATTTTCTGGAAAATGAATTACGTGAAACAAACACGGGAAAACATTTTCCGGAAAACGAATTACATGAAACAAACACGGGATTCCGGGAAAAACCAATTTCGTAATTCATTTTACGGCAAACAAACAGACTCTAAGATTTCATCTATATAAATAATGAGTTTTAGGTACAATAAATAATTTTTTTAATAATCCTATCAAATTCCAATTACGCTTGAGTACATTTAAATCTACTCCAATAGGTGTAAACCAAATGAAAATCAATGAGTTTTTAAACATGGTCTTAAACTTATCTTGAACTTTGGATAATTTATTTTCTTAATAGTTTTAGATGATATAAGGTAGAACAATATTTTTTAATCATTGATAATACATATTTTGCAGATGCAATTGTTCGAACCCGAATCTTCAAAGGAGATCAATATTTTTTTGACCATTGAGATCACTCAATGAATTTATTTTTTAGTAGGGATGAATCGAAGGGGGCAAATGGGAGAAGTCTTCCCCTTGGAAATTTCATATTCTCATATATTTTAAATATTTCATTTGTATTTTCTATTGATAATTTGTTTCAATGAATATTATGTAAAAATTGAAGTTGATGAATACTTGACACGATGCTTCAAAAGATATGTGACTTACGAAAAAAGATTAAAGTTGTTTAAAACTTGAAGACCAATTTTGATGAATTTGGATCAAGGAAGAGATTGTTATATTTTGATCTAAATTATAGTTGGTCATTAAGTTCACTTCTAACATAAAATCTTCCGTCTGCCATTAATTTGAGTGAAAAATTAAATAGACTCAAATATTTTTTGTTATTTATTCTATAAGATAAGAAGACTAAAGAAATAAAATATAGAGAAAGACGTGTATTATAATTATATTTTAATATAAAGAGAAAATTATAATAATAATTTTGGGTCAAGTTAAGAATTTGATCATCCCTAATTATTATACTAGAGCTAAGTACTCCGTTAGGGCCGGTCCAAATATGAGTTGATGCTCGAGATCAGCAGCTGCTGTTATATTAGAGCTTTGGGTCGAAGTCCCAGTTTAGTTTGGATCTATTATTTCTCGGGCCGCGACCCTTAAAAAATGTGATTTCACTGGTCTCTGATCCACGAGTTTGCAGTTGTAAAAGCTGCATTACCGAATATGAAATCCACCGTGCCAGTACTTCACTGGTGGTTTTCTCCAGACAATAGTGTGCTGCCACTAACGAAAACAACAATGCCACCTGTGACCGAAGCTTGCTTTGAATCGGTAGTGCCGATCACTTGTCGGCATCGGTCGAACCGCAGAGGTACGACAGTGCCGGCCGATCGGTATCGAAAAGATGTTGATGATCCACAAATGCTTTGAATCCACTTTTTTAGACTGGTGCCATTACCCTCAGACACCATGTCTCCGCTTAGCCAGTAGACCAAATCTCCACAATCATTTGATATTTGTAAGTGATTAATGGTAATGATTGAGTAGTCGGATTTGGATTTTCATCCTTCAAATTGTACTTTAAATAACAAAGAATGGGAGAAAACCATGTTTCCTGTAGCTAGCTAGTCCACTTGGAAACAAACAAATGAATACAGACAACAAGCACCAATACAGTCTAGCTGAATACATACAAGCAAGTTCTAGTCTTGCTCTTCTCTCATTCATGTGGGTCGGGAATTACACCTCTCTCTCTTTTTTTATATACAAATTCGGTCATGGACTATGGATATGCTTGACAGTACTTGACAACCCATGTTTCCATGTAAGACAGTAAGACATTATTGCACGTGAGCCCCAAGGCCTATATATATCTATATATATGCTGCATGTGGGAGTGCATTATGAGCATGTGTCAAATCCCCATCATGTGAGGAGAGAGTTTTTGACTCTGTCAAGTTGCAAGTTATGATCTGCAGTGACTTCATCGTGATATCTTGATACTTTGTGTGTGAATTGAAGTCGTTAATTTTGGCGTTTGGATAATTTTAGAAGGCGGTGACACAGTGAATCTCTGACAGTGAACAGAAAACAAGGCAGTGTCCTGTCGGTCCCGAGTCCAAACCGCCACCAAATCCAGTTGTCGAATCCAGTAACTCTGATTATATTCTAAAAAAAAATTAAAACAGCCACGCTGTTACATGATAGATTATTATTAATTTCAAGGATCTGAACATCCTTGCATGGGTGAGTTGGTACATTCAATCATTCTCAAATAATCAATAAACAATACACACTAGGTTTACTGTTCTACCCCTTCCACACATGCACTCTCCATTTTCAAATACTCATCATCCAATGCACATTTCCTCCTCAGATATCCACTAGAGATATCCATCTATCTCACCATCTTCTCTTCATCCAACAAAAAGAAGAAAATGGTCTCTCCAATGGCGTTTCTGTTGCTCATTACAGCTCTGATATCTTCCTTTTGTACTTCATCTCAAGCAGCTGCTCCAAAAACTTCTTTCGAAGACAACTTCAGCATAATGTTTTCTGAAGATCATTTCAAAACATCCGAGGATGGCAACACCTGGTTCCTCTCCTTGGACAAACAAACAGGTATGTAACGACAGACAATCATCTGGTTCACTGAGTATGTAGAATCAGATTGCAGTGTTGATTAATTGCCATTGTTGTTTCAGGCTGTGGATTTCAGACCAAGGAAAGATACAGATTTGGGTGGTTTAGCATGAAACTGAAGTTGGTCGGAGGTGATTCAGCTGGTGTTGTGACAGCTTACTACGTATGTTTCTTTTCTCTTACTTCTAACATAAGATGTTTTGATTGTTGTTGTCGTGTTCTTCCATAGCTGAAGTTTGAGTTTCCATGGCAGATGTGTTCGGAGAAAGAGGCAGGGCCGGAGGGAGATGAAGTGGATTTCGAATTCTTGGGGAATAGAACCGGGCAGCCGTATTTGATTCAGACCAACGTGTACAAGAATGGGGTTGGGGGGCGTGAAATGAGGCACATGCTTTGGTTCGATCCCACTGAAGAATTCCATACATATTCCATTCTGTGGAATAATTACCAACTTGTGTAAGTCCCCAATTTGTGACCTTGATCCCTTTATTATCTTTGAATTTAAGATTCAGTCATTCTACTTTAATTTAATATAGTTTGGTTTTCTACTTTTATAAAGTCATTAGTTGATTCAGATAATTAACATTGTTTTCCGATTTTGATTAGATTGTCGATGTGGATTTTTCTTTAAAAAATATTTTTTGACACTCAATAAGTCATAGTTTAAGGACATTTGATAGAATCAAACGTAATGACTTGCGTTGGGAACAGATTCTTTGTGGATAGAGTTCCCATCAGAGTGTACAAAAACAATGGCAACAAGAGAAATGACTTCTTCCCCAACGAGAAGCCGATGTACTTGTTCTCCAGCATATGGAACGCCGATGACTGGGCGACGAGAGGCGGGCTCGAGAAAACCAACTGGAAAAGGGCACCATTCGTCTCATCTTACAAGGACTTCAGTGTCGATGGGTGCCAATGGGAAGACCCCTACCCTGCATGCGTATCGACCACCACCAAGTATTGGTGGGACCAGTACGATGCTTGGCATTTGACTGATGATCAGAAGAAGGATTTTGCTTGGGTCCAAAGAAACCTTGTCATTTACGATTATTGCAAGGATTTTGAACGCTACCCTAAATTGCCTGGGGAGTGTTCCTTGAGCCCCTGGGATTAGGGTATCAAGTGAGAAATTTGATTTTTTTTTGTATCAAAATGTATTCATTCGGTTAAAAAGAAATATTTATTAAAATGGATAAACTCCACCAATGATTCACGGCAATTCATTTTAATTGATGTGAACGAAGAGTTGTTAGATTAGATGTTCAAGAATAGTTAATTTAGAATGTCTATTTGTATATGCATTGAAATAGAATTTTTTTAAAGAAGTCATAGATAAATACATGAACTGTAGGAGCATATTGAAAGAATTACAAGAGACAAGCTATCTGGTATAAGAACCATAGATAATGCTTCTTCACTGTTATATAGACACAAAAGTCATTATAATTATAACTAACTAGGAAAATTTCATGATCCACCAGTAACACTGCCATTAAAGATCTCAATAGTATCACCTTGGGCAACTTGATGCCACCTAAACGACCGATCATCGTCCATCACATTCTGTTTATAAATGAAAAAGTAACCATCTTGTGGCAAATGAAAATGAAGCCTTTGGTGCAACTTTTGCAGTTCCTTCCTTAGCTCCCCAACATTATCCGTAGCATTCATTTCCACCGGTATCTTCTTCGTCCCCATCTTTGGCAACACCAACAGCTTCAACTTCTTCGATCCCGCCAACTCCGTCCCTGAACTCGTAGGCGACGGCTTGTTATTCGCATTGTTGACGAAAACGGGTAAAGAAAACAAAAGAACACGAGAATTTTACGAGGTTCGGCAATGTGCTTACGTCCTCGGTGCCTAGGCGGCGCTAGAAGTTTTTATTCAATGATCTTTTAGGTCTAGGTTACATCTCTATTTATAATAGAAAACCCTGGTACATAATTACAAAATCAACCCTGTACCGTACCGCGGGGGCTGCGCCCCCACACCCCCAACCCACATAATTCGTAACCCCACAACGAGACTTTTTATGAGCCATACATAACAAATCTCCACCTTGGCGAATATCCTGCCCCTTGGAAACTTCAATGTGGGTTGGGTTACCTTGCTTCTTTAACAACTCGAAACATTCAACAAGTCCAAGCAATACTTGAACTTGTCTGTCGTAACTGGCTTGGTGAACATATCAGCGGCATTCTCATCAGTATGTACCTTCTGAAACAAAACCTCTCCAGATGCAACCAACTCTCTGATCTTGTGGAACCTTACATCAATATGTTTAGTTCTAGCACGATACACCTGATTCTTAGCCAAGTGAATAGCACTTTGATTATCACAAAGCAACTGAACTCCACCTTGTTGAACACCCAACTCCTTCACTAAACCAGTAAGCCATAAAGCTTCTTTTGCAGCTTCAGCCGCTACCATGTATTCAGCTTCAGTTGTAGATAGTGCCACGACAGATTGAACAGTAGACTTCCAGCAAATAGGCCCTCCACCAAGAGTAAACACATACCCTGTCGTAGATCTTCTATTATCCAAGTCACCTGCATAATCTGAATCCACATATCCTACAACCAAAGGATTATCCCGCTGACTCCCAAAAACAATTCCATGTCCCACAGTACCCTTTAAGTACCGAAAGATCCACTTGACTGCATCCCAATGTTGCTTACCAGGTTTAGACATGTACTTACAAACTTGACTAACAGCATGAGCTAAATCAGGACGAGTACATACCATCGCATACATCAAGCAGCCAACAGCATTAGAATACGGAACCTTTGCCATATTTTCAGCTTCCTTATCTGTCTTAGGGCACTGTTCTGATGAGAGCTTAAAGTGATTCGCCAATGGAGTGCTAACTGGTTTCGCGCTGCTCATCGCAAACCTTTCTAGCATTTTCTCAACATAACCCCGTTGAGATAGCCGCAGTTTCCTTGAGTCTCTGTCCCTGCAAATTTCCATTCCAAGAATTTTCTTTGCAGCACCTAAATCTTTCATATCAAATTCCTGACTCAATAAAGTTTTCAAACCGATAACATCATCCATGTTCTTCGCAGCAATCAACATATCATCAACATACGTAATAGAAAAATAAAAGAACCATCATCAAGGCTCTTAACATAGACACAACAATCATACTCACATCGGTTGTAGCCAATCTTGATCATATAGGAGTCAAACCGTTTATACCACTGTCTCGGAGACTGTTTTAACCCGTACAAAGATTTCTTCAATCTGCAAACTAAATGCTCGTTTCCAGGTTGAGTGAAACCTTCAGGTTGCCGCATGTAGATCTGCTCCTCTAAATCACCATGCAAAAAAGCAGTTTTAACATCCATCTGCTCTAAATGCAAATCCCAACTAGCCACCAATGCAAGTACTGCTCGGATTGAAGTGTGCCTGACCACAGGAGAAAAGATTTCATCATAATCAACTCCTTTCTGCTGTGAAAAACCCTTCGCTACCAAACGAGCCTTGAACTTCTCCCCCTCTTTTTCTGTTACTGCTGGTTCTTCTTATACACCCATTTGCAACCAATCGGCTTCTTACCCTCAGGAAGGGGAACTAACTCCCATGTGCGATTGTGATTCAAAGACTCCATCTCCTCAACCATGGCTGCCATCCACTTGTCGTTTTCCTGACTAGTAACGGCATCATGAAAAGTAACTGGATCATCACTGCTAACAGTAAGTGCAAAAGATACCAAGTCTTCAAAACCCAATCTGTTCGGAGGCTTTATATTCGTCCGTCTCACCCTGTCTCTGGCGAGACTATAATCCTGCAAATCATCCGTAGTGGAACCACCAGAAGTCGGTTGAGAAGTTTCTGGTTTCTCAACTGGAAACTGCTCGAAATCTACCACTGTCGTGTCTTGCTTCTGCTGCAACATAGACTGTTCATCAAAAACGACATCTCTACTAATCACAACTTTCTTCGCAACTGGATCCCAGAACTTGAATCCTTGACACCTTTCTTGTAACCCAGAAAAATGCACTCCTTCGATTTTGCATCAAGTTTGGATCTCTCATCAGCAGGTACATGCACATAAGCAGGACAACCAAAAATCCGTAAGTTATCAAAACTAACATCATGACCAGTCCATACCTCTTCTGCAACTTTCCCAGCCAGCGATGCCCTTGGCGATCTGTTGATAAGGTAACATGCCATGTTAACAGCCTCAGCCCAGAAGTGTTTGGGAAGCCCCGCATTCAACCGCAAACATCTGGCTCTTTCATTCAACGACCTGTTCATTCGTTCCGCAACACCATTCTGTTGTGGTGTCTTGCGCACTGTAAAATGCCTCTGAATCCCATGCTCCTTACAGAATTGTAGGAACTGTGAATCTGTGTACTCCGTACCATTGTCAGACCGCAAACACTTGATTTTTCGTCCTGTTTGGTTTTCTACCTCAGCTTTCCACAGCTTGAACTTCTCAAAAACTTCAGATTTCTGTTTCAAAAAATACACCCAAACTTTCCGTGAAAAATCATCAATAAAAGTAACATAGTACCTAGATCCACCCAAAGACGATGTCGTGGAAGGCCCCCATACATCAGAATGCACATAATCAAGAATCCCTTGAGTTGTGTGCTTCGCAGTCTTGAAACGGACTTTAGTCTGTTTACCAAGAACACAATACTTGCAAAAGTCGAGCTTACAGCTTTTGACACCATGCAACAAGTTTCTCTTGTGTAATTCTGCCATACCACGTTCACTAAGATGAGCAAGGCGCATATGCCACAATTTTGTCGTATCATCACAGGACTCAACAGAGTGAACTCCACCTGCAACGGTACTCCCTAACAATCTGTAGATATTCCCTGCAGTCATCTTGCCTTTCATCACAGTCAATGCTCCTTTAACAATCCGAATGGTTCCCTATCCTCGTCAGCCTTAGGGATAAAACCATTCTTGTGCAAAGTGCCCAAGGAAATCAAATTCTTCTTCAAGTCTGGGATATGTCGAACACCACTCAACGTCCGAACGGAGCCATCGTGCATCTTAATTCTGACATCACCAATACCAACAATATTGCAACATCGATCATCACCCAAATAAACCGAACCAGAATTAACGGCCTGTATGTCGAAAACCATTCCCTATTTGGCGTGATGTGATAAGAACATCCAGAATCAAGAATCCAAGCATCCGTCAATTGTGTCGTTGAAATAGAAAGCATATCACCCTCACTGCAATCAGAATTATCATCCTCGACCACGTTCACAGACTTGGATGAGCCATCACGCTTCTCATCAGTCTGCTTTTTCAACTTCGGACAGTCTCGCTTCATATGTCCCGCCTCCTTGCACTTGTAACAGTGAATCGTCTTCTTATCCTGGATTTGGATCTGGAATTCCGCTTCCCGGACCCTGCCTTCTCTGGCTTCCGTCCACGATCTCGATTACCCTTGACATATAAGCTATCGGCTTGAGAGCTTTCCCCTGCATTCTGCTTTCGCTGGTTGTGAGCCAACAAGGCTGCAGTAATCTCCTCAACATTGATAGTCTCTTTCCCATATGTAAGAGTAGTCACCATGTTCGTAAGAGGGAGGCAACGAACACAACAGAATCATCGCTCTGTCTTCATCCTCAATTTTCACATCAAGCCGAGCCAGATCAGAAACGATTTGATTGAAGACATTCACGTGTTGCGCCAAATCGTGATCGTCCTGCATCTTCAGCCCATACAGCCGCTGCTTCAGATACAGTTTTGTCGTTAAGGATTTGGACATAAACTGACTTTCCAACTTCCTCCAAATTTCGTCTGGAGACGATAGATGCATGACGTGATACATGACCTCGTCCGCCAAGCATAATCGTATGGTTCCTGCCGCTCGCTGCTGCAATTCTTCCCAATCTTCCTCATCCATCGACGCCTGCTTTGTAGGTCGCAAAGCCTTCAAGATCCCTTGCTGCGCCAATAGATCCTTCACCCTCGTTTGCCATAATCCGAAGTTACCCTGACCATCAAATTTCGCGACTTCGAATTTTGCTCCTGACCTCTGATACCAATTGTTGACGAAAACGGGTAAAGAAAACAAAAGAACACGAGAATTTTACGAGGTTCGGCAATGTGCTTACGTCCTCGGTGCCTAGGCGGCGCTAGAAGTTTTTATTCAATGATCTTTTAGGTCTAGGTTACATCTCTATTTATAATAGAAAACCCTGGTACATAATTACAAAATCAACCCTGTACCGTACCGCGGGGGCTGCGCCCCCACACCCCCAACCCACATAATTCGTAACCCCACAACGAGACTTTTTATGAGCCATACATAACACGCATCGACATTGTTATTATTCGCCGTCGGCTCGCAGTCCCCTAGTGACCGATTTGCTTGCGATTCGGCACCGGTTGATTGAACTACTAGCCGGTTAACCAGGACGGGTTCCATTTGATCGTGAATCTTCTCCTTTAAAACCGTGTCGTTCGAGTCCATTTCGAGATGGAGCGAGGTTTTCAACGATGGGGAATTGACGTGGAGTTGTATTTTCTTCTTCAACGGCGATGAACTTTGTTGTTGTTCATTGGTTTGGGGTTGCTGTTTACTATTATTAGTATCGGAATCGGAGGCCACGAGTAGTTGAATACTTGAGTCTTGTAGGATTTTGCAGAACTCGACGTCTCGTTCGTCTTGAATTACTCATTTATTTCTGTGGATTTTTTCTTTCTTTCAAGATTTGGAAAATTTGTATTCTGCAGCTTGGGATTTTTATTCTTTAGATTGCATTTACAATTGGCAGATTTTGTTCACCATTTTTGTTATGATTCAATCACTACTATTGTTCATAGAAAGATAAATGTCTGTTTTAGATGATTTTCTGTTCTATAATTTATTAGAATTTTAAATTGAATTAATGGATTTAGAGTAAATTGGGACAGAAAATCTCTATGATCCTAATTTTAAAATAGATACTAGATTTTAAAATGTTCTATTTCAGTCTGAAACTATGACTTTAGTTTTAAGTTGGTCTCTAAACTTTAAAATATTATATTAATCCTTAACTTATGATTCCGTTTTAAATTGATACTTAAAATTTGAAACATTTTAAATCATTCCTCAAACTACTAATATCATTCTATTAATGTGTCATTAACTCTATTAGATTTTGAAACTCCTGACAATCGAACCTACCTTATAAATAATTAATCTGTTTTTTAAGTCATAGGAATTAAACTTATAACCTTTTAAAAAATAATTTACTTTTAAAAGTCCTATAATTTTTTAGGTTATAAGTTTAATTCTAAGACCGTCAAAAATATTTATACTTTTAATAAGTAGAATTAATAGAAGAACAAAAATGAGAAAAATATTAATAATTTAAAAATTAATATTTGAACCACCGATCGGCAAAGGGTCACCACCGATCAGGTTTTATTTGAATCAGGATGTGGAATTCAACGGTGGTGGTCGTGTAACGTACGGACGGTTGTAGCTGTCAAAATCGTCGAAAAACAATAACGAAAAACCTAGAAAACCGACAACCCTTCGTGGTATTTTTCTCGATGATCGACGCAATTTCACAATGGGTGGGGGATTGGGTTTTGGTTGCGATGGCGAGAAGGTTTAGATGGTGTCAAAGGTGACGACCACAGACTGACAGTGATCAATTGACGATGGAAGATATAAAATTTAGGATTTTTTTTATTCTTTTTTAATTATAATATTAAGTTTTTTTAAATAAAATA